AGAGAAGAGCAATTCCAAAGCTTTTTACTAACTGTCTATACAAATGAACTATAGTGCGCCTGTCCTAAAATGCATGGGATGCAAAAAGGCAGCAGATACAAAATAACAATTGCTGAATGGCAACATACATTGTATTTTTGTAGTTTTTTTTTCCTCCCCTTTTGGACTAAACCTTACCATCTTGACCTCCTAGCGCCAAGGGTTATAATGCAGAATAATTGCTAATACAAAACTGCTGTCCAGCAATGCAACCACTGTACATCTCCTTTACTATACAATATGGATGGTCATGTCTATGGTAACTAAACCTGAACTGTAGGGAAGCATATAAACCAGGGGTCTGCAAGTTTACTGTCCTTCAGACTTTAGAGGGCTGGAGTACAGAGTGTGGCCAGCAGAAGTAGAAAATATCCTGCCATCATATTGACACTTTATAGTTTCTAGACTTTGAGTCAGAGGGAGTGCGCCAGACTTCCTTGGGCTGTGTACTTGTTACAGGTTATGAAGCCTGAGGGTCAGCATAAAAGCCCCCCAAATTCCTAACAAAACAGGTTAACTTGAAATCTTTTTAAAAAAAACTGTAAGACATTTTCCCTTCCAACAATGCAGTATGTCCTAAAAGTCTTATAAACTGAGGAACCAGAAAAGCAGTTCTATCAACAATGCTTAGTCCATCGTGCCCTTACAATGCAAAATTTGAATGTACCATATTAGTTTAACTACTCCATCATAGCAGATAAGCATTTCCTTCACATACCAGGAAGTGCCAACCCCTGTGAGCTTTGTCCCCCTCACATGGTCTGAACAGGTTTATCTGGATATTTTGTGAAGCTAAGTGACCAGATGAGGGAGTGGGAGGAACAAATCCAAAACAGCTACTACATCCTCAATCATTTCAAATGTATAACCCACTGCCTAAGAGATACTTTTTGTTATCTAGTAAAGTTAAAAGGAAAAGTCCACTTCTTGAGTACCTTTAAGCCCTTTTCACTGCCACGGACATATGGCATATGGTGGCATAGGACAGATTCCAGTTGGTCAGGTGAGCATGCCTTACTCTCTGCTATAAGCTCATGGTCAAGCATATATCTGAGTTGTCTTCCTGACAGCCCTAATTAAATGAACAGCTATGGTCAGCAGCTGACAATTCACTAATTGTAGCAATTAATTCCAAAAGTAAGTCAACCCTCCCTTCTGCTGTTAAGACTTGCCACTCTGCTGTTCAGATTCCACTAAACCCCCCACCTTTTCCCTGTTTAGTAGTAGTGAAAACAAGTAAAATAAAAAAAAAAAAAAAATATATATATATATACACACACACACACAGTTGTGTTCAAAATAATAGCAGTGTGTTGCAAAAAGTGAATAAAGCTCAAAATCCTTCTAATAGCTTTTATTTCCATACACACAAATGCATTGGGAACACTACACATTCTATTCCAAATTGATACATGAAGAAAAATATATCAAATTTGTGTTGTTCCTTTAAAAAAATTTAAGAAAAGTGAATATTAGACTGTTCAAAAAAATAGCAGTGTTTGTATTTTTCTTTACAAACTCAAACATTCACTATATAAACTGAAAAATGTTTGAAGATTTTGCTTTCCTTTGAATCACTTAATTAATATTTGGTTGTATAAGCACTGTTTCTAAGAACTGCTGTACATCTATGTTGCATGAAGTCAACCAACTTCTGGCACCTGTGAACAGGTATTCCAGCCCAGGATAATTGGACTACATTCCATAGTTCTTCTCTATTTCTTGGTTTTGCCTCAGAAACTGCATTTTTGATGTCACCCCACAAGTTTTCTATTGGATTAAGATCCGGGGATTGGGCTGGCCACTCCATAACATCAGTCTTGTTGGTCTGGAACCAAGATGTTGCACAATTACTGGTGTGTTTGGGGTCGTTATCTTGTTGGAACACCCATTTCAAGGGCATTTCCTCTTCAGCATAAGGGAGCATGACCTCTTCAAGTATTCTGATGTATTCAAACTGATCCATGATCCCTGGTATGCGATAAATAGGCCCAACACCATAGTATGAGAAACATCCCCACATCATGATGCTTGCGCAACCATGCTTCACTGTCTTCACAGTGTACTGTGGCTTGAATTCAGTGTTTGGGGGTCGTCTGACAAACTGTCTCCGGCCACTAGACCGAAAAAGAACAATCTTACTTTCATCAGTCCACAAAATGTTGCGCCATTTCTCTTTAGGCTAGTCAATGTGCTCTTTGGCAAATTGTAACCTCTTCAGCACATGTCTTTTTTTCAACAGTGGGACTTTGCGGGGGCTTCTTGCAGATAGCTTGGCTTCACATAGGCGTCTTCTAATTGTAACAGTACTCACAGGTAACTTTAGACCTTCTTTGATCTTCCTGGAGCTGATTGTTGGCTGAGTCCTTGCCATTTTGGCTATTCTTCTATCCATTCGAATGGTAGTTTTTCGCTTTCTTCCACGTCTTTCAGGTTTTGGTTTCCATTTTAAAGCATTTGCGATCATTTTAGCTGAGCAGCCTATCATTTTCTGTGTTTCTTTATATGTTTTTTCCCCTCTCCAATCAACTTTTTAATCAAGGTACGCTGTTGAACAATGTCTGGAACGACCCATTTTCCTCAGAATTTCAGAGAGAAATGCACTGTAACCAGTATGTACATTTGCTGCCTTCCTTCCTTAAATAAGGGCAATAATTGCCACCTGTTTTTCAAAGAATGAATGACCTCACTAATAGAACTCCACACTGCTATTATTTTGAACATGCCCCTTTCAATTAGTGATTCAATTACACAGAATCAGCAGCATGCGTGTCATGACTGTTGGGTCTGTTGGATTTCTATTACTCTACTACATCTGCTAGTAAATTATTTGCCATGTAGAAATATCATTTCTACCAAAAACAGTGATTGATCAGGTTAGTGATGTCTGACTGCTATTATTTTGAACACAATATATATATATATATATATATATATATATACATATACATACATAACATATATATATACATACATACACATATATATATATATATACATACATACACACACAACATGGAAAACACCTTGCTAACACAAGTTCGTTGCATGGTAACCTATCACAATGCACTGCGGAGGACTAAAAACTGGTACCTGCACCTGTTTGGTGCAATTTATGCATGTTGATTTGAACCTTGTTGCCCCGCAGCCCTTTAAAAGGTTCCAAATGCCACATAACTGCTGAGATTGGCTGTCAGAGGAGTCACATGATTGGAAACTCCTGACCATAATCAATGACCAGCAGTGGTTCATGACCGCTCGGTCACTGTGGTGGGACCATGGAGTGAGAGCACTCTAAGCAAAGAATAGCAATTCCCTACAGGCATATATGCATAACAGCTTGGTGGGAACTTTTTTAAAACACACACACACACTAAACTAAAGGTCTGTTTCACATCAGTGGGCATACATTGTTATACCACATTGCAGTGCTTCATTTTGTTTTTTTTAAACTTTTTTTTTTTATGTTACTTTCATCTAACGCTATGTGTAGCAATGTATTGTGAAGCTGCACAGCTTTACAACAAAATGTATACCTATAATCTCTTTATCGTAGCCCGGACACAGCAATGCAATTGAAGTTACCAGAAGCCATAGGTGTGAAGTCAACCTCCAGATTTATAGCTTAGTCGCTCATTTATAGTTTTGAATATGTTTTGCATACGTTTACCATTTTGCAAAAATCACTTTAAAATATACAAATATTTATTAAAGTAGAATTCCAGCCAAAGCCTAACTAGTCTTACTAGTCTCTACTAGCCCAAAGGGGCTGTGCGGGCTCTAGAGATCACTTTTATAGAGTCCTGAAGGCAGATCCCTAATGTCTCCTTTAGGTGGATCTGTCATCTGCCCAATGCTATCACAAAGGGGGCTTTTTTAGACCCCTTGTGATAGTAATAAACTTAAAGAAAAAAAAAACTCTACACAATATAAACAGAACAAAAAAAAAAAAAAAAAAACTTTAACCACTTCAGCCTTGGTGCTGTACCCGTACATTGCCAGGTTATACCAGGATGATGCCTGCAACTACAGCCATCATTCTGGTGTCTTTTGTTTTTAAGCCAGCGATGCTCTTTTATGTAGAAGCGATCCTAGTGGCTAATTAGCTGCTGGATTTCTTTTACAGATGGTGGAAGGGGGGTCCCCCACCTTCTACCAAGAATTCTTCCTAGGCTTCACTATCCCACTGGGGAACCCGTGACTGAAGCTAGCGGTTCTGCTGACCATAGAGATGGAAGAGGACTGGAACAACCCCGATCATCTATCTATATAGTCTAAGAAACCAGAAGTGATAGCTATTTTGTCACTTCCGGTTTCACCAGGATATAAAGAAGCCATTACTGGCTTATGAAAGCTTAGCTGAAACTGATCTGGGTTTTATCTGATGTTTTGAAGGGGAGGGGAGAGATCTGAAGTTTAATAGATCCCAGATCTCTCCATGAAGAGGACCTGTCAATGCTTCAGCTCTAGTACCGGACCTTCTGTGGGACTCTAAGACTGGGTTCACATATGTGCACGGCCAGTTTCAGTGTGCTTTTTAAAGAAGTTGGTTTTGTTTAGTGGTTCAGGTGCAAATTTCTAAAGTGTATGACAACTGAAATCGCACTTGATCCCGACTGAAAATGCACTGTGGCCGGCCTGTACATATGTGAACCAACTCCATAGAAAATCGGTTTGGTCCACATGTCATGTGAATCAGATGTGGTTCAAAATGCATCCAACTCGGATATATGTGAACCAGGGCTAAGCTGGTAACTTGTAAAAGCTTTTAAAGCGTAACCTATGGATAATTGAACCACTTGCCTACCGGGTACTTATACCCCCTTCCTGCCCAGGCCAATTTTCAGCTTTCAGCACTGTTGCACTTTGAATGACAATTGCGCGCTCATGCAACATTGTACTTATATGAAATTTTTATCATTTTTTTTTCTTAGACAGATAGAGCTTTCTTTTGGTGGTATTTAATCACCTCTGGGTTTTTTTTTATTTTTTTGCTAAACAAACCAAAAACAACTGAACATTTTGAAAAAAAAAAATGTTTTTTCTTAGTTTCTGTTATAAAATTTTGTAAATAATTTTTCTCCACTGATGAGGCTGCAGTGATGGGCACTGATAGGCGGCACTTGTAGGTGGCACTGATGGGCATTGACAGGGATCACTGATGGGCATTGAAAGGCAGCACTCATATATGGCACTGATAGGCAGTACTGATTGGCACTAACCGGCACTGTTTGGTGGCACTGACTGGCACTGCTAGGTGACACTGTTAAGCGGCACTTACGGCACTGATGCGCGCAGATAGGCGGCACTGATAGGTGGCAGTGATTGGCAGTACTGATAGGCGGCACTGACTGGCACTGATAGGTTGCACTGAAAGTCAGCTCAGATGGGCACTGATATGTGGCATTGATGTGCACTGGTAGGCACTGATATGTGGCTTTGATGGGCACTGGCACGTAGCATTGATGGACACTGACAGGTGGCACTAATGGGGCTACACTGATCATTAGGGCACACTGATCATCAGTGCCCAGATGAGCAGTGTACATGTCCCCTCTGAGGAATGCCGATTACTGGCTCTCCTCTCGAGCTGTCAGCGTGTCAACCGGCATTTCCTTATTTACATGCGATCAGCTGTGATCGGACACAGCTGATCACATGACAGAGCCGACGTCATCGGCTCTTTTCGTTGACCGGTGATCTGCTATGTCCCAGGGACACAGCGCACCGCCAATCGCCGCAATGCGTGCCCACGGGGGCGCACACGCGCTGTTGGGGTGGGAGGACATCATATAACATCCTCCCGGAATGAGAGAACAGCCTTGTGCCCGTCATTTCCTTCTATGGTGGGCGGGAGGCGGTTAATATACCATAGTTTGTCACCATTTCACAAGCTTGCGCAATTTTAAAGCATAACATGTTGGGTATCTATGTACTCATTATTTATTAAAAAGTGTATTTTTTCCCAAAAAATTGCTTTTGAAAAACTGTAGCGCAAATACTGTGTGACTTAAAAAACTGTAACACCCACAATCCTTGCTCTTTGGGGGTTCCAAGTTTTCTAGCAATTTTTTTTTTTTTTTTACATGTAGGAGAGTAATGTCAGAATTGGTTGGGGGCTGAAGTGGTTAAAGTACAAACTCCAAATGGGCAGCGTAGAGTGAGCATGTGTATGTCTACATTAACTGTGCCACACATGTGAAGTATTGCTGCAAAGCATGGGGTGAAAGCAATAATTCTAGAGCCATAATTCACAGTTAACTCTAAACTGATAATCTGTAAAAGACTTTTAAAGTGTCGCCTATGGAGAATTTTGGGCACTATAGTTTCTCAGTCTCACAGGCACAAGCAATTTTACAGCTTGACGTTATATATGTTATAGATGTTCTATATCTATGCACTCAATGAAACCTCATCTTTTATATTTTACCAAACAATTGGGTATAATATTTGTTTGTTTACATTAAAATTAATTTTAGTGTACTTTTTCCTGAAAATATAACTGTGAAGTAAAAAATTGCAACTAGCACCATTTTAATTCTGCTTTCAGACAGTATAAAATTGTTTGGGGACTTGAAGTAATTTCTAGCCAAGAAAAAAACCAATGCAATGAAAATTATTTTAAAAAACATGAGAAGGCTTGCACATACAGGAAACTATTTGCAAACAGCTGTGCCATCGATCAGATTCTTTTTTCGTTTGGTGCTCCATCCACTCAGACAAAGCACGTACACTGGTCACTAACAGGAATTCACTCAATGTCACTGTGGATAGTGTAAAAAAAAAAAAAAAAAAAAAAAAAAAAACAAGGAAAAAAAAAAAAAAAAAAACACTGGGCACAAAATGCTGAGAAGTAATTCATGGAAGTCTAAAATAAGTGAACTATTCCTTTTAAGGGTTACTTCTCTTTTTCAAAAAAGTGAATTAATACCCTACACACTCCCCATCCTCCCCCCCCCCCCCCCCCCCCCACTGCACATATCATGGGTGATGAGCTGTCAGTGTACTGGTCAGCTGGTGTACTGGTCCGGGGATTTGAAATCCCTGCTCTTTCTCTCCTTTTGTTCTGCAGGGCTGCTGGGACGGAGCAGAGAAATTTTCTGTGCCGACCAATCAGAATCACTCTGATCTGTCCCAAAAGCCCTACAGAAAAACAGGGGAGAAGAAAGAAGATTCCAAATCCATGGACTGCTACACTGACAGCTCATCACACACAGAGGTAAGTACAGTGGGGATTTCAGGGAGGGGGGGGGGGGGGGTTTAGGGTGTTAATTCACCTTTAAAAAAATTTCTTTGAACCTAACCTTGCAATTTAACCACCTCCCGCCCACCATATAGTCCAATGATGGGTGCAAGGTGGTTCTCTCGTTCTGGGAGGACGTCATGTGACGTCCTCCCATTCTCACTGCACATACGCAGCTCAGGGAGTGCGCTGTGTCCCTCGCACACAGCGGATCACCGATCTACGAAAAGAGCCGAAGATGTCGGCTCGATCATGTGCTCAGCTGTGTCCAATCACAGCTGATCACATGTAGACAGGGAAATGCCGGTTATTGGTCATGCTGACAGCTCGAGAGGACAGGAGGAGAGCCGGTAATCGGCATTCCGCGGAGGGGACATGTACACTGATCATCAGGGCACTGATGATCAGTGTGCCCTGATGATCAGTGTGGTCCCAGAAGTGCCACCTGTCAGTGTCCATCAGTGCCAGCTGCCAGTGCTGAACAGTGCCACGTGCCAGTGCCACATATCAGTGCCTACCAGTGCACATCAATGCCACATCAGTGCCCATCTGAGCTACCTTTCAGTGTCACCCATCAATGCCAATCATGCCACCTATCAGTGCCGCCTATCAGTATGCATCAGTGCCTCCTATAAGTGTCAGTCAGTGCCGCCTATCAGTGCCATATATCAGTGCTGCCTTACAGTGCCCATCAGTGATGCCTGTCAATGCCCATCAGTGCCACCTACCAGTGCCTCCTCATCAGTGCCACCTATCAGTGCAGCCTATCAGTGCCCATCACGGCCTCATTAGTGCACATCAGTGAAGGAGAAAAATCACTTATTTACAAAATTTTACATCAAAAACTAAGAAAAAAAACATTTTTTTTTTCAAAATTTTCAGCGGTTTTTGGCTTAAGAAAAAATAAAAAAAAAACAGAGGTGAATAAATACCACCAAAAGAAAGCTCTATCTGTCACAAAAAAATGATAAAACTTTCATATGGGTACAGTGTTGCATGACCGCGCAATTGTCATTCAAAGTGTGACAGCGCTGAAAGCTGGAAATTGGCCTGGACAGGAAGGGGGTATAAGTCCCTTGTAGGCAAGCTGTTAAAGTGTCATAGATAAAGTGTTGATGAAAGCAAAGTGATACACGTATTGAATTAAAGAACATGTCCTTACCTACACTGTGTCCTGTTTTACTAGATGTCTCACAAAGGTGGGCTTTAATCTCTGCAGAGAGAGAAAATATTATTAGAACTACTGCAGCATGAGAAAAAGCAACATCCAGAAATGTTTAAGAGGTTTTATTTAACCTTGCACATGCAGTCACTGCTGTTGTTTTGCAGATTTTTTTTTTTTTAATTTATTTATTTATTTCAAATTGTTACTAAACTCATGACCCTGCATTCACTATATCTGGTCTCCCATAGTACACACTACATGGAAATGCAATTATTGTAGTAAGTATAATACTAAATACTTTTTCTTATCAGCAGTATATAGCAGTCTTGTGACTTCTATCAGTGTCCAGGGGAGCACTGATTAAAGCTTCTAGGAGGAGTTTTCATTCTCTTCTGACTGTCCTATGAGGCTGCATGACCCCAGACCCTCTATCTGGACAATGCTGACTGGCACTGTGTTGATCACATGCAACCTCCCAAAATAAAATAAAATATTTAGCAATACACATTAAACTGAGCATGTGCAAAGTGACTCCTAGAACTTTGTACTATTAGCAGATGGATTGGGGACAGTAGAAGAAGGGGAGGAGCAGAGAAGACAGGATCAAACATCCTTTTTACACATTGTGGAGGATTAACCCCTTAGGATCCACAGTGAGTATAACAAGCATGCTTTACTGCATATACAGACTGATTTTACTGTTTGGGTTTAGTAACACTTTAAGTGTCAACATGTGTAGATATTGTTTTTCACTCTATACTATGGCCAAGGGTACATAGATCACAATATAGGCTGAATAAATAAAAGAAAAGTGAAAAGCAGGGGCACCGATTGGCCTTCTCTAGGTCATGTTTCTGGTTCCTGGACGTGGTATTAGGCAGGAAGTAGCAAGGAATCAGGTGACCTGTTGGGCCTAGACAGGGACCTGTGGCGGGTGCTATGTTTAGGTTTCGCAGAAAGCAGGGGACAGGTAAACCTAAATTTTGTTTTTGGTTTTTAGATCAGTCTTTACAAATATCAGTGTTTATCAAGCACCACTGACATGCATGTTATCAAAGATAACCCAAAATGTGTCTAAATGTTTTACAAAGTGTGATTTTGTACTAGATAGAACACGGCCTTGTTCACAAGGGTGTAAACAAGTACATGTTTTCCATCATTGAAACTTTTCAAACACTTTGCAAAGCCAATACCTGCTCCATAACATATCAGTGAATGGTCTAGTACAGGTTCCCAACCTCAGTCCTCAGGTCCGCTCAACAGGTCACGTTTTCAGGATTTTCTCCACCTTGCTCAGGTGATTTAAATCAATGTCAGTGGTTTTGTATTCATGACTGCGATTTTATAGAAGGGAAAATGCAAAACATGGCCGGCTGGGGATACTTGAGGACTAAGTTCGGGAATCACTCATCTAGTATGCATAGTTCAGAATGTGTATTCACTGCTTTGCATAGTTTTGCTATCATTTTACACATATCTATTATCTTTCTTTTTAAAGTATATCTAAACCCCCGAAACAAAAATCATATACAGTTTACCAGTCTCTAGATGTTGGTGGCTGCATTTGTTTTGTTTTTTTTTTCCCCCTTTATTTTCACCTGGGGATTCAGTCAGTAATCTACTTCTTGTCTTAGGGTTCCGTTCCCTGCAACGTCAGGACGTACGGGGACGGAACGGCGGGAAATTTAAAAATGTGAAAAAGTGACATTCACTAAATACACTAAAATCACATAGTAAAACATTACTGTATCAAACCATTTCACATACATTTTGTCCCTAGTGCTTTGTCCTGTGCCCTGCCTGCATTTTTACCGTTCTGTCAGTCTGGAAATGTCTGAGAAATGTCTATGGCATCCAAAAAGCATCCCTTTGGGCCTACAATAAAAAATACATATTTCCATGCAAAAAAAGAACCGCTTTGAGCACAGAAATACTGACATAATCAGACCGCTAGGGAGCTACGGTGGTTCCACTCTATGGAGGAGCAATGGAGCCACCCTAAAATATGAGATGTTTTACTGACTGGATCACCAGATGAAAATAAAGGAAAAAAAAATGATGCAGCCACCACATGTAAGAATTGATAAGCTGAAATGTATTAAATATTTGTGTTTTTGTGTAGATACACTTTTACCTACTGGGGTATACAAGTAACTGGTAAAAAATTCTGGGTTTTATTACATCTTACCGAATGTGTAGTATTCTAACAAAGATGTTTCATGTATATCAAATCAAACAGAAAAGCTTGTGCTAGTATAGCTATGGCAAGGATCAGGACTTGCCAAATGTTATAATCTCACCATCTGCGTAATCTTGAACATCATGGAAATCAACTTGCCGTCTATTCTTGTCATTTTCGATTAGGTCGACCTTTGTGCCACAAATATAAATCCGACAATTCTGGTAACAGAAAGAAGCCAACTATTAGGACCACAGGGTCAGCTTTTTATTATACTTAGCAGTGTTTACGATTACAAACCTCTTCAAAATTCTGCAGTTCATTTACCCAAAACTTCACTCTTTCAAAACTACTGCAGTCTGTGAGATCTGTGACAAATGGAAAACTGATGATTAGTATGTTTTCAATGTCCTTACAAACTCCAAACATGCCTGTACACACTGTCAGTTTTTTTCCATTCAACCCAGCAGGCTGAAGGAAAAAAAAAAAAAAAAAAAAAAAAAAAAAGATTGCTGTACTAACACCAGCAATGTTAGTACAGCCATTTTCCCCGCTGTGCTTTTTGTGTTCAGGCAGGGGGACTGCCCCACACCAGGACACACCGGTCAGCTCGCTCAGCCACTGGCTGAGAGCGCTGACCAGAAGACCTTTTTCGATAATGCCCCTTCTGTCGGACTGGCTGCCGTACACACGGCCAAATATTGGCTGGTTTCTGTTAAATGAACTTTACAAAAAGTAGGTGTCACATTAAAACAACCAAAAAAAGTCTTGTAAATTCTAAATATAAGCTGTTTACTCAATGTGCATATTTATATAGTGTGTCAAAATTCACAATATTGCGATGTATGTAATCCAATTAAAAAAAAAAACCCTCTTTTTTGCCAAGTCACCTGTCCAGGAGTTATTGTATATTGGTTTTTTTCTTAAAACATATGCAAAAATAGGTGAATTATCTCACATTAAAAGGCTCAAGAAATCATGTTTTCACGTAAATAATGATCTATAACAATCCAGGTAAAGAATGGTAATTTGTTTTTAGATCGGGAGGTGTCAGGGCCTATATCAGGATACTGTTGTCGGTTTCCCCATAGGCAGATTTCCCCTCGATTCCTGTTCTTGATACATGAGGATATCAGAGGCTCTAACCTCATTCTAGCCAAACCTAAAAAAATACATTTTAGAGTTACATTTTAATTTGCTAAAATGCTGTAACACTCCCAATCTATAAAGTTATCTGGATGCTGCTGGTCCTTGAGTTTGATGTCTTTCAATGCTAATTATGATGGCAGAGCACGCAAAGCAGGTAAAGGGACCTTTGTTATGAGGTCAGGTGGTGTACATGCACACAGAGGTATTTCCCTGGGTCAGTTTAGAGATCATTATTCCCTATTGTTAAAGAAGTCACAATTTTAAATGCACATGTTCTATTCAGATGTTTGTTGAAAAGTATTTGCAGTGCAATATGCACAAAGCTAAAGATTAATGATCACTAAACGAATGCAGGCCATACACTGTATGGATTTGGGCTGCTTTCTGAGGAACCAGACAAAATTCTTTCACTGGGTGGCTGTCATCCACCTCCCTCCATTCATCAATTCATCAAAGGAGCCAGGCAAAAAAAAAAAAACAAAAACAAAAAAGCAACTCTGTCCGAAAAGGGACTGCAGCCAATCAGAGGCAGCCACTGTTCAGGTATTTTGACAGCCAGTGATGCCAGCTGTTAAAGTGGTAGTAAACTAATTTTTTATAATTTATACATACAGGAAAGCTTATTATAAAGCTTACCTGTAGTACAAGGGATATCTCCAAAACATGCAACATTTAGGAGATTTTCTATAGCTCTGCAGCCAGTGACATCACCGGGGCATGCACACTGTACCCTGAAAGGATGGCATACTGAGTATGCCGTCCCTTCAGAGTGCTGTGCTGCTGTCATGGTTCCCATGTGCATGCACGTGAGTGATGTCATCGCAGCTTGGCCATTCAAGTGACCGCAGCCCATCAACCTGGAAGGAAGACCGGGTGAAGATGGAAGCCCTGGCAGCGGTGACAGCACACCACTGGAGGGCTTCGTTTTTGGGTAAGGGTTTCATAATTACAGTGGGGATCGAAAGTTTGGGCACCCCAGCTAAAAATTTGTATTAATGTGCATAAAGAAGCCAAGGAAAGATGGAAAAATCTCCAAAATGCATCAAATTACAGATTAGACATTCTTATAATATGTCACCAAAAGTTAGATTTTATTTCCATCATTTACACTTTCAAAATAACAGAAAACAAAAAAATGGCGTCTGCAAAAGTTTGGGCACCCTGCAGAGTTAATATCTTGTACTGCCCCCTTTGGCAAGTATCACAGCTTGTAAACGCTTTTTGTAGCCAGCCAAGAGTCTTTCAATTCTTGTTTGAGGTATCTTTGCCCATTCTTCCTTACAAAAGTCTTCCAGTTCTTTGAGATTTCTGGGCTGTCTGTCACGCACTGCTCTTTTAAGGTCTATCCATAGATTTTCAATTATGTTGAGGTCAGGAGATTGTGAAGGCCATGGCAAAACCTTCAGTTTACGCCTCTTGATGTAATCCCCCGTGGATTTCTAGGTGTGTTTAGGATCATTATCCATTTGTAGAAGCCATCCTCTCTTTAACTTCAGCTTTTTCACAGATGGCATCAAGTTACCATCCAAAATGTGCTGAAATTCTATTGAATCCATTTTTCCTTCTACTCGTGAGATGTTCCCTGTGCCACTGGCTGCAACACAACCCCAAAGCATGACTGATCCAACCCCATGCTTAACAGTTGGACAGAGGTTCTTTTCATTCAATTCTGTGCCCCTTCTTCTCCAAACGTACCTTTGCTCATTCCGGCCAAAAAGTTCAATTTTAACCTCATCGGTCCACAGAACTTGTTTCCAAAATGCATCAGGCTTGTCTATATGTTCATTTGCAAAGTTCAAACAATGATTTTTGTGGTGAGGACGTAGAAGAGGTTTTCTTCTGATGACTCTTCCATGAAGACCATATTTGTACAAGTATCTCTTTATAGTGGAATAGTGTACCACAACTCCAGTGTCTGCCAGATCTTTCTGGAGGGATCGTGCAGTCAAACGTGGGTTTTGAATTGTTTTTCTCACAATCCTGCGAGCTGTTCTGTCTGATATTTTTCTTGGTGTTCCAGATCTTGCTTTAACTTCCACTGTTCCTGATGACTGCCATTTCTTAATTACATTCCGAACAGAGGATATTGACATCTGAAAACGCTTTGCTATCTTCTTATAGCCTTCTCCAGCTTTGTGAGCGTCAACTATTTTCAGTTTCAGTTTTCTAGACAACTGCTTAGAAGAACCCATGGTGCTGATTGTTGGGGCAAGGTCAGATGAGTCTGGGCATTTAAAACCTTTGAGATTGACATCACCTGGTCTTCCCAGACGATGATTGAGAACAATCCATGACACTGGCAGGTCTCAGCTTGGCAAAGGGGGCAGTGCATGCTATAAATTCTGCAGGGTGCCCAAACTTTTGCAGACACCATTTTTTTGTTTTCAGTTATTTTGAAAGTGTAAATGATGGAAATAAAATCTAACTTTTGTTGACATATTATAAGAATGTCTAATCTGTAATTTGATGCCTTTTGGAGATTTTTCCATCTTTCCTTGGCTTCTTTATGCACATTAATACAAATTTTTAGCTGGGGTGCCCAAACGTTCGATCCCCACTGTATGACTTTGTCTTGGAGGGAAAAGATTTTTTTTTTTTTATAAATCAGACTATACTACCACTTTAAAGTACAAAAGTCACTAGTGAAAGGTTAATCTACCTGCGCTATGTAGCATCGATGGAGTAATTGGTTTTTTTTTTACCTTTCAGCCTGCAAGCAATCAGTGTGTGGCCTACTTAACTAAAAGCAAAGATAAAATCGAAAAAAAAAAGAAATAAGGGGAAAAAAATAAATAACTTACCATAACAAACAATTGCAGCTCTGGCCCCCCGGTAATAGATACGACTCATGGCTTCATAGCGCTCTGAGCCTGCTGTATCCTGAAGGGAAAAATTTACTTTAATCTCTATATAAAGACCAGCAGGAATGTCCTATCAAAGCAGGAATGAATCGCCTTATTCAACTGTAATAAATATTTACTTATTGCTGCAAAATTTCAGATATTTTATATAGCAAATCTGTCTGTATAAAGCTGGCCAAACAGTAGCAGATTTTCAAACAATCATTCCATTAAACAATGAAAACATTTGTAAAAAATTTTCAATACATTTGATGGCTAGACAAATGTTGTTTATAATGCTAGGTTCACATTGCTGCAAGACGCTTTTGATATGATGTGGTTAGCATATTCCATGTGGCCTAAATTGCGCTGGAATCGCTCCAAAGTAGTACAGGAACCTTTTCCAAAATTGCACTGTGCCGAGTTGCGTTGATGTGAACGGGCACCATTGAAAAAAAAATAATGCGATTTCCCTTGTAATGCAATTCTGTGCGACTCAAGTCGCATCTGAAAATCGCATTAGTGTGAACAGAGTTTTGTTTGCTGTTAACATTCAGTTTTTGGAATGAATGGACTTTCCCGAATGAAAGCCACATACACTGTTAGAAATACTTTTTTTGCAAAAAATTTTCAATCCTGTTAGTCATAGCGGTTGAAAATGAACATCAATTTGACCCCACTAATGATTAGAAAATCAAATGAACTTTCCGAAAACAAAATATTTTTAACAAAAATCTACTAGCATTAGGCCAGTTTAAATCGTAATTGTAACATTAAAGAGACGGTTACTAAAATAGACGCTGAAAAGTATTCCCAGGAAAGAAGACATTTGATGCTCTGAACTACCACTGCCCATGACACCAAATTCTGCTACAGTGAAAAGAATGGCCAATAGACTGAACCGTTGCACAATGGGAGACCACAAATTCAATATTGTTGGAAGGCAAATATTCATTTTTTTTGCATAATTATGTTCAACAAATTTTATTCTGTTACAATGCTGTTGTTAGAAAATGGAAATTTATACTCTCCTTTAAGCATGATGGGACATGTTCACTATATATGATGTAAAGTGAAATATTCATCACATCCCCTGAAACATGTAAGAGAGGCTTTGGGCATAAATTCAGATATGCAGAATGGGAGGAGATACCATTTTGAAAGTAGCTTACAGTCTCTCTCAAATGTGTCGACATTGCTGGAACATGACTAATGGTTTGCCAAATTTGTTTCCAGTACCATGGTTCCTAGGATTTCTTTCACTTCCTCTGTCCATTTTGTAATATACAGTAAATGGGCGGCAGTAAAAATCCTGTATTGTGCAAAAAGGTCTAAAAAAGACAAGCCACCAGAACATGGGTATTTTAGACATATGGTTTCAAAAGATGTAACAGAATTATGGATGTTCACATTATGGCCAAGTCATTTGCATTATATAATGTTTTACTTGAAAAGTAGTAACAAAATATTTTTTGACGAGGCAAGGAGTATTCTTCCTAAAAAGTATCAAAAAGTTTACGCTCATATTACCTTTTAATTTATGGAGATGGTCTATACCTGTACTTGGCTAATTGTTGAAAGCCCACAGGGATTAACCCAGGACAAAGAAAGGGGTATACAAGAAGAAATGTAGGGGTAAGTGGGGTTACAAAAGACTACCAGGGAATTTTAGGTTATCCCACAGTTGTAATTAATAGGCAGTGACTGGGTTAGATAAAATTAGGACTAGTGTGTGGTAGGAGCCACAAGAGATTTTTAAGCTAAAGGGGGTTGATATCCAAGGATTCTACATCTATCCAAACTTGTATCTCAGTTGTTGTGCAATATTTAATTAGTTGTGCCAACTGGGAGCCAAATAATATTTTGCTATTTTTGGGACCCCCAAACCTCCAGAAAGTTTTGAAAGATACTTAGTAGTCCAAGTCTCCAGAGAGTTTAACAAAGTTTCAAGTAGGTTGGGTACTGTGGTTATAGGCATAGCGTTAAGTGGGGCATCATCTGCAAAAAAGACTTATGCCCATACACACGATCAGAAAATCAAATGAGAAAAAATGCTTTCGGAGGGAGCATAAGATAATCCAAACATGACAGTTCATGCGACAATATTTGAAGAAACAAGCATGAAAATTGTTCTTGTACAATCACAGCGCAAACAATTTCTATTTAATCAGTATAGTATTCGTCCAAAAAAAAACAAAAAATTCGAAAGACAAAGACCACGTATGTTCAGAAATAAAATAATACATTACAATACAATAGATTACATCACTTCCAAAATTGTATTCTGTCGTACAAGAATTTTTGGAACTTTTAGTAACCTCTTAATTTTCAATATGAGACTAGCCTGCAAAAAAACAAAACAAAACAGAAAAACCTGAAGAAACGAGAAGTCGCCCGATTATCTGATTGTATGTACTAGGCATTAGTTTATAATGGGTTGCTTAGTATTAGGATTGATAGCAGCTCAAGAGCAAGAGTGAAAAAGAGGAAAGGCAAAGGGCACTCCTGTGATGTTCCTCTTTGGATCAGATAGGAAGCAGATTTAAAGCCAGAGTAATGCAGATAGGCAGAGGGAGAGCAGTAAGGCTGCTACCAATCTGCAGAATATGGGTCCAAACTCCCATTCCGCTAAGACATAAAAAAAATATGGCCATGTCACAGAGTCAAGGGCCTCCCATATATCCAAACAGAGAAACGTAGACTGCATTTCTGTTAAATCCCCACTCTGCGCTAAAGATACACCCAACTGATTAAACCCAAAAACAAAATAAATACAAAAATGAAATAAAAGCAGCCATATTTAAAATCAACCTTATTGAAATACAGTGAAAGTCATTCCAACTTGATTAAAGCGCTTAATACACCATTTTGCTAGGTTCACACTATTCTGGGCTTGTGGGCCGCGTTTGCGCAGACACGGCAGCCCGTTCATTTGAAAACGCAGGAAAAAGGTTCCTGGAGCATTTTTAAAAAGCAGCGACCCTGCGGTTCCCGCACCTGCCCTGTATTTTTAGATGCGTGGGGGTTCCATTAGGAATGAATGGCATTTATAAAGAGTAGCTGTAATTCCCACACCCGTAAGCACTTGCAATAGTGTGAACCTAGCCTTAAACAGTGTCATACAATCAAATATTATATGGATTGCTGTGGTTACCATGAAAATGTTAATTTAGGGATTTCTGCCACTCCCCACGTATATTTGCATGTCTGAATTGTAGAAGATGGGCAAATATATTTAAAAAAAAGAGCTGTGGACTAAAACTATTAACTATTTTAGTGTTAGTGCATATATTAAAAAAAAAAAAAAAGGATTTGGTTATTTTTAAGGTATTAATTTATGCGGCATTTTATTGTTTAGTGGCATTTGTGTTCATATTTGTTTGGAGTGAATTCTGTGAAAGGCGGAGGGGAGAGGTGGTGCTGGAGGAGCTGAAGCTGATTTAGGTGATATATCATGTGGTTTTGGTGTGTGTCCATCTATAGATGAAGGCTGCACTTGGCAGTTCACACTGAGCTGATAAAGTCTTCACAGAACGGTTTCACTTTCAAATCTCTGAAGAGGACTGAGTGTGGATATTGAAAATGGAAAAGACACTTTTGTTTCATTTGTGGTTTATTTTCACTGGGACAGTGAAAGAAATGAAAGGTTTATGTATGTTTGATTGTGCTACACTGACTTTCACCATAGACTGACGTTGCCTAGTCTTGGCTGCATGGATCAAGAAGGCAGGTTTATGTACAGTGGATATAAAAAGTCTACACACCCGTTAAAATGTCAGGTTTCTGCAATATAAAAAAAGACAAAGAAAATAATTTCAGAACTTTTTCCACCTTTAATGTGACCTATAAACTGTACAACTCAATTGAAAAACAAACTGAAATCCTTTTTTTTTTTTTTGGGGGGGGGGGGGGGTGTACACATGAAAAACTAAAATAATGTGGTTGCATAAGTGTGCACACCCCCTTATAACTGGGGATGTAGCTGTGTTCAGAATGAAGAAGAAATCATATTCAAAACTATATTAAATAGGAGTCAGTACACACCTGCCATCATTTAAAGTGCCTCTGATTAACCCCAAATAAAGTTCAGCTGTTCTAGTAGGTCTTTCCTGACATTTTCTTAGTCGCATCCTACAGCAAAAGCCATGGTCCGCAGAAAGCTTCCAAAGCATCAGAGGGATGTCATTGTTAAAAGGTATCAGTCAGGAGAAGGGTACAAAAGAATTTCCAAGGCATTAGGTATACCATGGAACACAGTAAAAACAGTCATCATCAAGTGGAGAAAATATGGCGCAACAGTGACATTACCAAGAGCTGGACAAAATTGATGAAAAGACAAGAATAAAACTGGTCTGGGAGGCTTCCAAGAGGCCTACAGCAACATTAAAGGAGCTGCAGGAATATCTGGCAAGTACTGGCTGTGTGGTACATCTGACAACAATCTCCTGTATTCTTCATATGTCTGGGCTATGGGGTAGAGTGGCAAGACTGAAGCCTTTTCTTACAAAGAAAAACATCCAAGCCCGGCTAAATTGTGCAAAAAAACACATCTGAAGTCTCCCAAGATCATGTGGGAAAATGTGTTATGGTCTGATGAAACCAAGGTTGAACTTTTTGGCCATAATGCCAAAAGATATGTTTGGCGCAAAAACAACACTGCACATCACCAGAAAAAAAACACCATACCCACAGTGAAGCATGGTGGTGGCAGCATCATGCTTTGGGACTGTTTTTCTTCAGCTGGAACTGGGGCCTTAGTCAAGGTAGAGGGAATTATGAACAGTTCCAAATACCAGTAAATATTGGCACAAAACCTTCAGGTTTCTGCTAGAAAGCTGTACATGAAGAGGAACTTCATCTTTTAGAATGACAACAACCCAAAGTAAATATCCAAATCAACAAAGGAATGGCTTCACCCAAGGAAGATTAATGTTTTCTGGAATGGCCCAGCCAGAGCTCAGACCTGAATCCAATCAAAACTCTATGGGGTGATCTGAAGAGTGTTGTGCA